CAACGTGAGCCAAGAAAATTACATGATCACGATAATTTTTAAATAGAAATAACATATTTACACTTCTTGGATAAAATAGATAAATTAAAGTCTTTTTAATTGATATTGTAAGAATGGTAAGAAAATTTTCATATCAAAAAAAATTTAAAAAAAATTAATTTGAATATTTTAATGTAAATTATCATTTATTTTTATTTTTATTATTTCCTAGGAGGTTATATTGTAGGTTCAATCAACTTCAAGAAAAATATTTGCCAATGAGTTATGAATTTGAAGTACAGAAATTAAACTTCCTGTGTTCAGTGTTGATGTTGAAAGGTCTATAAAAGTATATTAACTGATAAACGCACAGCTTTAAAAGAAGATTCGATTAAAAAAATAAATTTCATGTATTTTAATTTTTCTGATGAATAATAAATAAAAAATTTTAATATTAATTTTGGTCGGAATTATTATAAATTTGCCCAAAAATTAATTGGATATTTCATTTGTTCCACAAAATCAAACTGTTACGCAAAAAATTTATTTAATTTGTTTAAAGATTGATCAAGATTTAAATCACCTTTCAAAATTAATTCTTCAGACCCTCCAAATTAATATTATCTTCACTATCTATAGTATTTTCATCCACTTCCTCATCTTCTTCACCTAATACAGATGTATTATCTAAACTTTCTAATCTATTGTTATATAAATTTCCTAAATACTCAATGCCATTCAATAAATAATCAAGACAATGTTGACATTTAAACTGTAAATCTTGAAGATATTGATAATGATATTCATAGATTACAAATTGATATGCAATTATCATCATTATAGTCATCTGCTATTTCACAATTTTCATAATCACAGCAGGAATCAAAACTGGGCAGATAATTGGTAACAGAGAATCATTACTTTTCTTTTTAGATTTATTTCTGTGAAGGGCTCATAATTTGATATAACATATCAAAAAAGCTTTTAACAAAGGATCTCTCTCTTTCTTTGATCATTTTTACAAATTCATTGTGATCATTAATAATTCCATTTTTTTCACCATGTTGATACTTTATATTCAATTTATTTGATTAATTATTTAATCACCTTTAATATTAAATTCTGTAATTTGATTTTATAAACTAAAATTAGTATTTGCTTCCATTTCAATTGATTTTCTCATTTTATATGTTGCATTTTCAGTTTTCTTTTATATCTATTATATCTATCATATGCTATATAAGAATTATAGATTTAGAACATATTCTTTCGCCTATATTTAATTCATAACCCACTAGTTCAGCTTTCTCTTTTCCTTGTTCTGAAATATTTCGCCACTTAGAGTCATCTTTTTTCTATTTTGCAAACAGAACAAAAACCAACAGGCATTTTAGTAATGACTTGCAATCAAGAAATAAAAACTGTTACTTCGAATGGATCAGGGTGGATCAGGGAATGTTGAAGTTAAAAGAGTATACTTGTAAAATTTGAAAGGTTGTTATTTAGTGTATTTGCACCCGCCTCATAAGTGTAACCCATAGTCTATACTAAAACAATTGAAAAATAATCAACATAATATAAATAATGTCCGCCATGCTGTTTATTTATACATTTATTATTAGTAAATGAATGCAAAGAAATTTTGCAAAGTATTCATAAGGCAACATGGACAAGGATATATATATATATATGTTTATGATGAAAACAATAGTAAGTTAGTGATATTGAAATGCTTGATAAAATTTTGATAAACTCAATAGTAATTTTCATTTAAAATGATAAATTTCGTGTCAATGGATTTTATATATAATATTTCATGCATATCTAAGCTCCATGTGAGCCGGTTTGCATTGGCTCACACAAAACATTAATCGAATCATTGTAAAATTAAATCAGAAATGATATTTAGTTGCCTTGGTATAATCAAATTCAAAGGTAGCGGAAATTGTGCAATGCAATGTTGTGACCCTAAACCCTTTTGGCTTCTCGAAACAGTTTCGGTAAACTGTCTAGTTTAGGTTTCGGGTTACAGAATGTAAATCAACACCAAAACCTAAGCCCATATTCGACTTTACCCAAATTTAAATTCATATCCAAAACCTTATTATTTATTTTAATTTGAGAAATGTAACTCAATTTATATTTCTATTTGTGTTCAGGGCAATGAAAGTAATAGTGAATCCATTGATACAGAATCAGATATTGATCCTGACAATTATGAATATTATAATAACCATAATAGAAGACTACATAGATTTAAATAATTCTTTATTTAATTATGAAGGTAGTAACAAAAATGAAATTGATATAAGTGTAGAGAATTTACAACATAATGAAAATTATGAATATAACCCCAATGATTTGGGTTTCCAATATTTTTTTGATGTGATGTGTGAAAATAACATCAATACTGCACTGCAAAAAGAAAAAATAGTTAATTATGAATGTGATACTGATGAGGAAGATTTGGATTATGATTCACATAATTTTTTAGGTTTGATAATGAAGACGGAAATTTCAACGAAAATAATAATGATGAAATTCAAAGTTCTGAAGGAATTTATGATGGTGGTGAAAAAAATTATTAATATTAATAGAGAAGGGAGTCAAAAATAATATTGATTTATATGGAAGTAATGATGAAAGTTCAGATAAGGATGATGATATTGAAATAAATGAAGATAAAGAAAAAAAATCTAAAAATACATCAAGGAAAAGAATTAAAAAAAACTATAAAGATTAATTTCGTGATCCGTGTGAAACATCTGCAAAATTTGCAGATCACCAATTAAAATTTTCTGGACTCCAACATAACCACCCTTTATGTTGATATAAACTAAAATTGTACTTTTAACGCATGATATGAATCTCGAAGTTTAAATATACAAATTTTCAAAGGAACTTTCTTATAAAATATTTTGTTTATATGTAGGAATCGCTGGATTCCTGCCTAAAATTACTATATAAAATTTAAAGGTTTGAGAAGCAATTAAAAATATTTATGATGTAAAAATAGTTGTAGAATTAATTTTATCCAAGAAGTGTAAATATGTTATTTCTATTTAAAAATTATCGTGATCATGTAATTTTCTTGGCTCACGTTGGTCACGTGAGATAATATCAGATTCTCAAAACTCCTGAAATCATAATGCTTATTATCGCCACAAAAACATATTAATGATCAGGGCTGGAAATAGGGTCTGAAAAAAACGGAAATTTCTCTTGAATGCTAAAAATTTTCCAGAAGAAAAATTTAAAAAAAGGAAAATTTTTTGGGTACTAAATTTTTATTTTTTTCAAATTTAAGAATTTTCTTTATTGTTTTTTTTTTTACTAAGAGCATCACTAAAACCATAACCAAATAAATCAGTACCTTATAAACCAATCATCATTAATAAGTACAATGTGCCATTTTCCATTGCATTACATTTGATAATATTCTGTTTGCTAAAACCTCTTTCACAATCTACACTAGAAAATGGAATTGAGTGCACTATTTCCATAAGTTTTAAGATATAAATATAAGACTTGGAAGTTTGGAAATTGGAATATCTTCTTTTGCTATCCAGTAAATTATTTCATTACATCAATTATATATTTGTTTCCATTACTAATGGCTCTTTTGGAAGACTCTTGCATGGTTATTCTTGACTTTTCTAGAAACAAAGCATCTTTGTGTTGGTTTGAAAGCGCATCAGTGGCTAGAGCAGTAGATTTTGAAACATTCTTTGATCCTAATAATAACATTATAATTATACATGAAGTTGAAAATATTTTGACCATTTGCAGATCTGGTCGAAATAGGGTTGAAATAAGGTTGAAACTGATTTTTACTATGTAGTTGTCTCAAGTCGACTTTGGGTTTTTAATTTTGACTTATGTATAATTATAATATTAGTAAATTAATAATTACAAAATGCAAAATCAATTATATTTATTTGTCACCTTTTCCTGTAAATAGATTTTTTTCCAATGTACTTTATAAATTGTGCAAAACATTCTCTTCATTGTTGTATCATATTTTAACCATTTATATATGTTAACCATTCATGCCAAAAACTTCTTCCTGATTTTTAAAATGCACTTTTTTATTTGACATAATTCTTTATTTTATTTTATTTTTTTGATTTTTTTGAAGTATCATCATCATCTGAACCTTGAATTGTCAAATCACCTGGGCCTTCTACATCTGATTAATCAATATTTATTTCATCTATAAATGCTTCATCATCCTAAATTTCGGTAGTCAAATTATCTAAATTTTCTTGTTCTATACCATTTGTTTTTTTGAATAAAAGAAAACAAAAATACATAATTCATATTTAAAGTGTATATATTTTTAAATTTAATAATTTAATAGCAGTGAAATAAGATTTAAATTGAGTCAATATTTTTCTTCTGAAAATTCAAAAGATACAAATTATGGTTCTTTTCTAAAATATTGAAGCAACGGCACACATATACTGTATGTATACATATTTAGTATGGTTGGCTCGGTCTAAAGACCTCCTATTGCTGTGCCATGCGGCCAAATTTCAAAATAGCAATTTTGTAATTCGTTCAAAAATTTTCAAAAAATAGGACTTCACGTGATTTTAGTTTTCTTACTATTACTGCCAAATTTAGATACGTTAGTCAAGAGCTAGTCTAAATTTGGTAATGTTTTCCTAAATTTAGAAATGATCATAGTGGACAAAATTCCTCGCGAGCATAGTAAAGTACATGCTTTAAAAAAGAATAGAATTCTACAACAAATAATTTTTTTGAGAAAATCTCTCTATTACATTAAAACTAAAGACATATTCTATCAACTAATAGAGCTATTTTTTTAAAAGGTAAGACAGAAAGTGACTTCTATACTTTTAAAATTTAGGAGGTCTTTAGACCGAGCCAATTATATAAAATTTTTTTTATGCGGATGGAAAAATTTGTACAAAAAATAAAAATAAAAATAAAAATAAAAAGGAAAAATATAAATATCCGGCAACTCTTTTTTTTCCGGGAATTAAAATGTTTTAAAAATCCGGATTTTTATATTATTTCCAGCCCTGTTAATGATCGGCAAATTTTTGCAGTTGTTTCACGAATTAAAAGTTTAAAAAATAGCATTAAAAGTTTAAAAAATAAATTAATAACAATAAACTTTGAAATAAAATCAATTGGTAATATTTTACAATAAAGGCAAATTAATTTTGATATAAAAAATAGTTATTGTTTGGTGTAAAAATAGTTCAGATAATAAAAATAATTTGTTGATATAAATTTTTTTAGTTTCAGTAGGAGTTTGAGATTTAGGTTTTGGTATTTTTGTGTTTCAGTTTCAGTATGGATTTTAAATTTCGGTAAGGTTTAAATTTTAAATCTCTCTAAACTAATTTAGGAGCGTATGTCCCTAAACTCGGAGTCTAGGATCACAACATTGGTGCAATAGTTTTAAATCATAAGCACAAAGAATTTTAAGTAATTATTTATGAAATAATTAACTTTAAAAGATTTGATTATTCATGTAATTGATTAAATGATATCAAACTGCTTTTCGTGTTCCAGGGTCATTTAACTAGTTGGACGTTAAATGAAACGGCTTATTTATTAATTTGGCTCTATCTATCGAAGGAGGTTATCTGGTAAAACTCGGGAAGGACATAAAATCATGGCCAAATTCATCAATCCTAAATTGCAAACGAGGCACATTATACTTACTCGAGAGGGCAGGTATAGTGGGTGATCAAGTTTTCTATGTTCAATAAATTAAAGAGCATCGATAAACTTGGGAATATCTGGGATGCTTCATATTTAAATATTCATTGCTCCCTCCTTTTTTTTAAAAAAAAAAATACAACGGAAAAAATGCATTACATGAGAATGTAACCAACCTGTAAAGTTTGTAAAGTTTGAGGTTTCTATCTAGGAAAATAACAATTAAAAAAATTAAAGATTCAACCATATTTTTTTTTTTTTGAAAATTTAATCCGTCATTAGGTACAAAAATATGAGGATAAATATTTAATCTACTAGCTTAGTTGAAAATTCTAAACCTGTAATTTCATTATT